CTAAGAAGTCTGCCGGGTCAGCTAGTTTGCAATAAATAAAATATCAAATCAGCCTAACACAAAAAAACGTACAATTTTATCCATTATGGCTCAAGTGTTTGATCATACACTTTGTTTAATGAATCCTTGCATGTTACAGGCAAAACTTATATTATTACAAACACTATGTGCTAAGAATATTAGATGAGATGACCAATTACCTACCGAAGTTGAGTCACAATTGCACGACTTCATTAAATACTTACCAGAAATCACAAAAATTTAAATCCCTCGTAGAGTGTTATGTAATTCGTATGTTATAGTCGAGTTGCATTTTCTGATGCCTTCATTAAGTCTTATTCAGCTTGTATATACGCTCAGTGTCGGAAACTGGGAATGTACAAGTATATTTGTTACTTGCAAAAGGCAGAGTGGCCGATTGAAGGAAAGACTCACTATGCCAAGGTTGGAGCTTTGCGGCGCCCTTCTCATCATCATCATCGTCAGCCTATAGCAGACCACTGCTGGACATAGGTCTCTCCGATTGCTCGCCACTGAGCAAGATTCTCGGCTTCTCTCATCCAGCTCCTACCGGCCACCCTGCACAGGTCGTGTCTCCACCGAGCCTAAGGGCATCCTGCACTACGTTTGCTAATTCGCTAATTCTCTACTCAAGAACGCGTTTTTTCCCAACGATTATCGATTGTCGGCTAATATGGCCAGCCCATTGCCACTTGAGCTTACTAATGTGTTATTCCTTATTGATAATTTTGGTTCTCTGCCGGATCACCTCGTTCTGGATTCGATCCTTCAAAGAAATCCCAAGCATAGTCCTCTCCATAGCTGGCTCAGCGACTTTAAAATTGAGGACCTTTTTTTTTTCGGCCCTGGGGCCGAACCTTCTACGAGGTCCCCGCGCCTAGGGGGCACGCGGGGTTATGTGGGAATGTGGGACTTGACGACCTGCTAAGTGTTGGGAGCGGACCGCGGACCCAAGGAATTTTAGGGCCCTACCGCAGTAAACGACTCCCCTGTACTCTTACACCCGAGGTCCGATCTCTGTCTAGGGTCAGAACCCGGTCAGAGTAAGGTGAACTTGTGGACCAGCCCAACCGCGAGTGCCCACGTTTCGGCTCCGTATGCCATCTCTATTAAATATTATGGTCAATGAGCAAATTAAAGTTTTGGCGTGTTTCATTTTAGATTCTACGATGTTTTCATAGTGTAAGCTACCCGTGAACATGAGGTAAGTATGTATTTCATTAGAAAAAATGGTTTTAAAAACTGGATTTGAGCATCGACTGGTCGCAATTTTTTATGCTAATACTCGTCTCAAAAGATGCGACTACGCTACTATTGTTACACATTGGGGTTCAGGATAAATAAAACTACCACCTAAATACAAATTAACTCTATTTAACACTTATGCCCGTATCTTTACACCCGTATCTTTAGTCGTTTACACGAGCTTAACTCGACTCGACTCAACCTCCAACGCGCGTTTTGGTATGATTAGTCGTAAAAATAAACTCCACTCAAACGTCCTTGGAAAATTTTCCTAACCGGAGTGAAGTAAGCGAACTGTGAAGTCAAGGTACGTCGCGACGTACCTTGAACGTTCCTCAAGGCTGGTTTTCTATCAATGTCCAAATAGTATGTGGACCGCAAATGGAAATATATGATATTGTTGTGCAATGGCCTGGATCTGTGCATGATTCCCGCATATTTTGATAATTTAAGTTTGATAATATTTATTAATAAAGTAAATAGTTCGAGGTTAGACATTTGAAACTCTNCTACTCTAGGAAGCTACGCAAAAATTCAATGCACTCTCATTTGACATTTAAACTCTTAGGGCGATACCTACCTTATCTGACGTGTAATAAATTATTCAATCCAATTTCTAGTATAAAAGGCCGAGTTCATAACGAAACAGACATATCGTTCTTGTGAGGCAGAGGTGAGATTGCACAAATAACTTTATATTTCATCAACTTACTGGGGTTACGGTGTGTTCGCGCCGGTACATTTCATAAATTCTTTTTATCTCTCTCCCAAATCCGTCCGCATTTAAAGACAGAGGCAGTCGTTATACGATACAGTTCAGAATTGGATTCACAGGAGAATTGGGTAGGCAACATTCACGTCTAGGGCCTGTAGAAATAACTTAAAACTAGGTGGACCGTGAGGTACAGATGTACAGCTAGATGTAGTGCATATGAAAGAAAGATCATCGTTTTAAGAGCTTTAGAGAACATGAAGGATAGTTCGGTATTTTTTTTGTGTACGCAGATTTAGAAAATAATATTACTGTTCTGATTCCATAATCTTCTTCATCTTCTAATAAGTCGTTACATCCTTCACGATCGGCATGTGGGGTTGGAGGGAATAGATTTTATGAGTCTATCGACGTCCCGTCACGTTTCCTTGCTCGAGGTCAATCAAGACTAATCAGTTTCCAAGTTTGGTTTAGCGAGACTGATATTGAAGTAGGACCTCTTGTGAGTCCGCACGGTTAGGTACCACCACCCTCTCTATTTCTGCCGCGAAGCCGTAATGCATTTCGGTTTGAAGGGTGGGGTAGCCGCTGTACTGTTAAAACTGTGACCCCAAAACACATGTCTCAAGGTGGGTGGCGGCATTTACGTTGTAGATGTCTATGGGCTCCGGTAACCACTTAACACCAGGTGGGCCGTGAGATCGACCAACCGCCTAAGCAAAAATAACATCAGCGAATAATATTTTTATTTATCATTAAAAAAAAATTGTCGTTATACAGATTTCTTCGTGAATTTTAATTTCATTTTAAAATTTAAATTTTATACCAACGCATTTTTATGTTTTAGAACCCGACGCACAAAAGATGAAAACCGTTCAAGTTATTCTGTGTCTTTTCGTGGCGTCTTTATATGCCAACGGAACCTCAGTCTCCGACTCCAAACTCGAAGACGATCTTTACAACAGCATCCTCGTTGCCGATTACGACAATGCCGTTGAAAAAAGCAAACAGATCTACGAGGACAAGAAGAGCGAAGTCATCACAAATGTCGTAAACAAACTCATACGAAACAACAAGATGAACTGCATGGAGTACGCCTACCAGCTCTGGATGCAAGGCTCCAAGGATATCGTCCGGGAGTGCTTCCCTGTTGAGTTCACACTTATTTTCGCCGAAAACAACATTAAGCTGATGTACAAGCGCGACGGTCTTGCTTTGACGTTGCGCGATGACAGCAACAACGATGGCAGACTTGCCTACGGCGATGGCAAGGACAAGACGAGTCCAAAAGTCAGCTGGAAGTTCGTTCCTCTGTGGGAGAACAACAAGGTCTACTTCAAGATTGTGAACACTCAGCGTAATCAGTATTTGACGTTGTCAGTTAAAACAACCCCGACCCAAAACCACATGGCCTACGGGGTCAACAGCGTCGAAGGTTTTAAGGCCCAATGGACCCTGCAGCCCACTAAGTACGACAACGACGTTTTGTTCTTCATGTACAACCGCGAATACAACGAGGCGTTGGTGCTCTCTAAGCCAACCGACACCTGGGGTAACCGCATGGCGTTCGGATACAGTGGCCGCGTGGTCGGAAGTCCCGAGCAGTACGCTTGGGGTATAAAGGCTTTCTAAGTACTGCTTTCATCGTTCACTGGAATCCAGAGCATATATACAACAATGAACAAATAAATAAGCAATCATTCTAAATTCAGATTAATTTTATTTTAAAACTAGCTGACCCGGCGGACTTCGTAGTGCCTCAATCGATAAGTAAAAGACACATCAAGGGGACACATCAAAGGAAAAACAAAACTGTTTGTTTTTATATAACTAATTCTGAGCTTTTTTATATTTTCTCACCTTTTAAACCTTCCCTGGACTTCCACGAATAATTCAAGAACAAACTTAGCCAAATCGGTCCAGCCGTTCTCGAGTTTTAGCGAGACTAACGAACAGCAATTCATTTTTGATACCGGGGTCAGTGTAGTTTCAACGGCTGCCCCACCCTTCAAACCGAAACGCATTACTGCTTCAAGGCAGAAATAGGCAGGGCGGTGGTACTTACCCGTGCGGACTCACAAGAGGTCCTACCCCCAGTAATTACGCAAATTATAATTTTGCGAGTTTGATTTTTTATTACACGATGTTATTTCTTCACCGTGGAAGTCGATCGTGAACATTTGATAAGTACGTATTTCATTAGAAAAATTGGTATCCGCCAGCGAGATTCGAACACTGGTGCATCGCTAGACACGAATGCACCGGACGTGTTATCCTTTAGGCCACGACTTCTTTCTTTCTTTCCGCTATTTGATAATAGATGGCGTTGTACTTTGCAAGCGTTCTTTCTTTTGATATTTGTTTCTGCTATTCGACGAAAGATGGCGTTACTCTTACCGGCGTAATACTATCAAAATAATAATAATAGGTTACTAAGTAGGTACGCTTCTGATATAGATTTCAAAAACTTACGTTTTATTTTAGCTTTAATTAAAATTTAAGCAATAATATGTTTTGAGTTAACTTAGGCTCACAGATATCCGCGGAGACTGGCGTCGTTGGTCGTCGACTATCGCCTCGACGACCCGTCGGACGGGCGTCCTCGGGGTGGCGCCACGTGTCTGGTTGTAGTGTTGACCGCGGGAACCCCCCTACTCTGACCGGGTTCTGCCCCAAACAGAGATCAGACGTCGGGTGTAAGAGTGCAGGGGAGTCGTTTAATGCAGTAGGGCCTTAGTATACCTTGGGCCCGCGGTTTGCTCCCAACACCTTGCAGATCGTCAAGTCCCAGATACCCCGTGCGCTCCCTAGGCGCGGGGACCTCGTAGGAGGTTCGGCCCCCGGTCCGGAAAAAGAAAAAAAAAGGCTCACAGATATGCGTGAACATTTGGTTATCACTATTATAGAAACATAAAATGTATATTCACTCTAGGAAATAATAAATTTATTTGAGGAACAAGCTCGTATATTACTTACACGTACACCATACACACAAACACATATAAATATTCTAAGACACGACTTATGCGGCAGTCCAGAAACGTGGAACCATCCAACTATAGAGGGCAGGAAGACCAGCCACTTCACCGTCGTGTCCAAATGCCATGCGGTCTCGTGAGCCATCCACAATACCACCAAGCTTCAAAGCATCGTTGTACTCGCGATTGTAGATGAAGAACAGGAGATCGTTTTCGTACTTCGCGGGCTGGAGGAACCACTGCTCGCTGGTGCTGTCAGCGGTGCTGTCGCCGTATACAAGACGGTCGCCAGTATTGCTGTCAGTCTTCGAGCTCAGTTTCAAGTACTGGTTGTACTTAGTGTTGTGGATCTTGAAGTACACTCTGTTGTCCTCCCACAAGGTAACGAACTTCCAACTGACGAATTCAGTATGCTTGTCTGCGCCATCGCCGTATGCAATTCTCTCATTCGAGGGATTGGTTGTGGAACCGAGCTTCAGAGCAAGCTTGTAGTTTCTGTAAATGAGGTTGACGTAGTTTCCGGCCATGATGAGCCTAAAGTTAAAGGGGAAGTACTTTCTGACAATGTGCTCTCCGTTGCCGACCCACAGCTTGTAGCAGTACTCCATGGTGTTCTGTCTCCTGTCAACGATCAGGTTGTAAGTTACATTCCCAACGATGGATCCCTTGCCTTGGCTCTCGTATTCTAAGCTCTGACGGACAGCACTGTCGTAGTCACCGGTTAGGATGCTGTTGTACAGTTTCTCCTCGAGGTCTTGGTTAGAACTGTCCGCGGATAGTTCAACGACGCCGGCGTTGGCGGCGAGCACGCACATCGCGAGCACAACGAGAAGTTTCATTTTGTTAGGAGCCTGTAACATAAAACAAGGTTCTTTGTACATGTGGTATTTGTCTCTAAGTTAGGAATGAAGGTTTCCTTTTTTTTTGCTACTTATTCGCTGGTAACCTAAGAGGCTATTTCCGCTACGCCCGGACGGGTGGGTGAGCTCACGGTTTCGACCTGAGAGAATTCGCTAACACTAACCCTACCAAAAGCAGTGCTTCGCAGAATCTACCACCGGCTTGGAATCGCGACCCACTCAAAAGATCCGGTGAGAAACTCAGTTGGCTGACAATTGAATATTTAATCCAAGTAAAGCATTAAATTATAATTATATTGATCATTCATCAGTGGATTGAGACACATTGTGGAAGTTTTTCGAATCATTAACAGATTTAAAACGCTTTCGATTTAATGTTAAAGAACTCCTCCATGTTAATAATAGGTTAAGTAGTGTAATTCTTTAATTGTATATTGTGAATAAAATTATTTCCTTACATTATAAGTTAGATTAGTTTTCGTTATCGTGTTGTTTTGTCGTATAGTTGTAAGGAACATCGTGACTTACGTTGCAAGGTGTTGCATACGTGACACATGACTTATGTTGCAAGCCAGATTTTGTTTCTTTTTACCTGTATTTTTTATGTATCTTTTTAGCTTATGATGTTTATTGTGTGACTAATAAATAAATAAAAAATCTTCGAAAATATTATGCTAGTACCCATCAAGCACCTTATCATTTATCTAAATCAATTGAGTTGTAATGTTCAGTTTGATATAATAAACAAGTCTTACCTTTTCCGATCGCTTTCAAGTTTGCAATGCTTTTCTTGCTGCACTCGGGTCTTATATACACTGCTGGATGCTTAAAACAAATCTCGTCTCTATCGTAATTACAGGTCGTATGTCAGACTGGCCCATCGGTTATTGTAATATTGTTTTCTTTAATAATTCGAGCAAGATTAAATTTTATTTATTGCTTAGACTACGCAACGAGCTTACGACCCATTTGTTGTTAGTTGGTGACTATTTGGTTACTGCCATGCGTGAACATTTGCTTATCACTATTATAGAAACATAAAATGTATATTCACTCTAGGAAAACTTAATAAGGCCTGCCGTCTTGTATGGATCCGCTTGTTGGACAACTAAAGTGGCGGATGAAAGGCGATTGCATGCAGCAGAGATGCGAATGTTGCGATGGATGTGTGGAGTAACGAGAATGGATAGAATACGGAATGAATATGTTAGAGGAAGTCTGAAAGTGGCACCTGTGACAGAGAAGCTGAGAAGTGCGTGTTTGGGATGGTATGGACATGTGATGAGACGAATTGAAAATGAGGTTGGTAAGAGAATGTTAACTATGAATGTCGAAGGATATAGAGTATGAGGTAGACCTACGAAGAAATGGATGGATTGCATGAAAGACGATATGGGTAAGAAGGGAGTCAGCGAAGAAATGGTATATGATAGAAGAGTATGGAAGGAGAAAACATGTTGCGCCGACCCCAGGTGACTGGAAGAAGGGTAAGATAATGATGATGACTAGGAAAACACAAATTTATTTAAAAAGGACGCTCGTATATTACTCACACGTAACACGTACAGCATACACACAAACACATATGAATATTCTAAGACACGACTTATGCGGTAGGCCAAAAACGTATAATCATCCAGCTATAGATGGCAGGAAGACTAGCCACTTCACCGTCGTGACAAACTGCTATACGGTATCCTGAAGCGTCCACAATCCTACCGAGCTTAATGGCAGAAATAGGCGGGGTGGTGGTACACCTACGGGGCCACATTCTGCCAAAGAGTACAGGTGTTGCAGGGGTGGCGTACACCACGAGCGCGTCGGGTGCCATGGAGGCCCCGGGCGCCACGGGGGCCCCGGGCGCCACGGAGCCGACGGGTGTAACGGAGACCGTAGAAGAGGCGGCGCGTTTATTGACCTTGTATGTAGGCCAAGAACTCTGTTATCACGTGCGGGTATAATTTAATGTTAGGATTGTGATGTATGATGCTACACGAGCTCTGTTTTATCGTGTCAAACGATTTTTGCATAAAGACGATTTGTCCCTGGTGGGTGGTGTAAGTCAGTTTAAGTCAGTAAGTCTATGTCGATTTTTAATATTTCCAATTTTGAAGAAGTGCACTGTGGTGGTCCGTGTAGCGGGAGATACGGGGTTGTCCCGGCGTGTTCCAGAGTATCCCAAATTAAACACTCCACCAACAGTTTAATAGTTTGTATTTGGTAAAAAGCACAAGCACAGGAAAGCAGAAAGAATATGTGGATAATTATAAATTCAAAATGAAAAAATATATATTGGCGGTAGAACGATTGTTTACAATATTAAAGCAGTGTCACATACGTCGCAAGCGAAAGCGTGGTGCGGACTGGCGGGCGGGAGGTGACGTGACCGGCCGTCGTACGAGTCGAGCTTTTTACGTTTTGTTTATGCACATTACACCGTAGGTTTTTTTGCATGTCTGCCACTGTGTGGAGGACGCCACATGCACCAATAGGGATTGCAATCCGGCATCATTTTCATTCCGACCATATTGTTTATGACCGTTTTGTTATGGCCGTATAGTTAGTTGGTCGAGCTCACCGAGTGCGCAAGGACATCAACAACGTGAATACCCACTACCTTGAGACACGAGTCCTAACGCTCAATTCCTACCCTACAGCAGTTGCTTCAAAAGCACTATTTACATTAAGTTCACTGCAGAAACAGAGAGGGTGGTGGTGGCTACCCGTGTTGGGTTAGAAGACACCTTTCCACCACTAAAAACAAATTAATAACGTAACGAGTGATTCATTTTCCACTTTCACATTTCACAGCAAGGACTTTTACAAAATCTATTATAAATTTCTTCTTCTCAGTCGTGTCACTCTTGACAGAGTGGTCGTGATCGTCATGAAGTGTACCATCAAGCAGCGTCTATCTGGTATAGTACAGTCTCGAATGGTGAATTTCTTTGGACACATTTCGCGATGAGATGGCCGGTCCATAGAACGCCTCGTTGTACAGGGAAGCGTTGATGGTACAAGACCGCGCGGGAGGCCACCAATGCGGGGGACCGACCTAATTAAAACTGCAGTGGGAGGTCCCCTAAATGAGTGCAGTAGAATGGCCTCGAGCAGGGAGAGATGGCGCGACATCGTGAGACGCATCAAGTCTGCCCCTTCCAACACTATTATAAATTAACCCTACATAATTTACTCAGATGAGAATTGAGATTATAATAAGTATTTATTTGAGAATTCTAAATATTAAGGATATTTTTTTTAGGATTGAAGGATGACTGGTGGTCCTGAGGCCTTTCCAGTTTCACCAGGACAGGTGGGCGAGCAAAGGCTCAGCCAAGAGGTGTGGGATTTGCTAACAGCTGCCCGAGCGCCTCCGAAGGAGACCTAACAACTCTAGAGCAGTTGCTTCGCGAATGAATCGCGATCCGCTGAGAAGATCCGGCGATTTATGTATTATAATATGTAGGCATGATAGATATCATCACGATTTGATGTCTTTGTCTAATAAATGGCCGGCACTTAGTTGTCTTTTATTTATAGCTCTTCAATTTAGTGGCGGCGCAGCGTCTCAGAGTCAAACGAATGGCAAGCGTGCACACACACAACGCGTATCGTATTTAAACCATTTGTTCTTGCGACAGTGTCATTATTTTGCCTAAACGCTAATACGAGGGAGAACTCGACGAAGGCGGAAGAAGGCTAAGCGACCGACTATTCCAACTCCGTCCGACAATCAGAGACCGTGCCCGGCAAGTTCTTGGTGGTCGCGAATGGGACGGCAAACGCTCCGGTGTCGCAGATAATGATCTGGCTTATAACGGCCTGATCGCTACCCGATCACAAGGTCACAGACACAGCCTACTGAGTTTCTCGCCGGATCTTCTCCGTACAAATTAAACGCGAGTGAAACCGTAGTGTATGACTAGTTTTTAATAAAATAACACTCGATACAAGTACATACGTAGATGAACCTTTGCTAAATGCCCATCACTAATTTGGATTTCTAAAAGTTAAGATTCTAAACGATTTCGACGCTAGTATCGAAAGGTCTGATGAACCAAGAGTAGAATTCAGGAAGACTAGCGACTTCGCCATTGTATCCAAAGGCCATACGGTCTCGTGAGCCATCCACAATCCCACCGAGCTCCAAAGCATCGTTGGACTCGCGGTTGTAGATGAAGAATGCAGAATGATTTTTATACTTCGCGGGCTGGAGGAACCACTGCTCGCTGGTACTGTCGGCTGTGTTGGAACCTTTTGCGATACGATCACGTGCATTACAGTCAATCTTCGAGCTCATCTTCAAGTACTGGTTGTACTTAGTGTTGTATATCTTGAAGTACACTCTGTTGTCCTCCCACAAGGTAATGAACTTCCAACTGATGACGTCCTGGTCCTTGTTCTTACCATCGCCGTAAGCAATTCTTTCATTATTGAAATAGTAATAGCAGCTAAGCTTCAGAGCGAGGTTGTAATTGGTGTAAACAAGTTTGACGAAGTCTCCGGTCATGATGAGTTGAAAGCTTAAAGGAAAGTACTTTCTGATAATGTGCTGCCCTTTACCGACCCACAGCTTGTAGCAGTACTCCATGGTGTTCCGTCTCTTGTCAACGATCAGGTTGTTGACTACATTCTGGATGACGGAGCCTTTGTTTTGTCTCTCGTGCTCTAAGCTCTGAGCGACAGCGCTGTCGTAGTTGCCGGTGAGGATGCTGTTGTACAGTTTGTCCTCGAGGTCCTGGTTGGGAGCGAGGTTCCCATCCATGATCATTTCCACGACACTGGCGCTGGCGGCGAGCACGCACATCGCGAACACCACGAGAAGTTTCATTATGACGGTTACCTGAAACATAAAACAAGTTTCTTTCTATGTGGGTGCCAGTATCTGCGTTGTACATGTCTATGGGCTTCAATAACCACTTAACACTAGGTGAGCCGTGAGATCTGCCCGCTATATAAGTAATAAAAAAAGAAATGAATCGAACATCTCTAATTGAAAAATTATATTTAAAGTTGATAAAATTAGCATTTATATAAAAGTAAATTGTGTCAAATGCTTTCTGAATCACAAACAAAATTTAAAACATTCGCATGCTAATCGTACGGATCTTAAACCCATCAATCATATTTATCATTTGTTAATGAAACTAGCAAGACATTAAACTATTATACTCATAATTAATGCCCCGCCTATTTCCGCCGTGAAGCAGTAATGAGTTTCGGTTCGAAGGGTGGGGTAGCCGTTGTAACTATACTGAGACCTTAGAACTTATATCTCAAGATGGATGGCGCATTTACGTTGTAGATGTCTATGGGCTCCAGTAACCACTTAACATCAGGTGGGCTGTGAGCTCGTCCATCCATCTAAGCAATAAAAAATAAAAAAAAGGATTTTATAATGTTTAGTTAATAATACACGAGTCTTACCTTTCAGATTCCTTTGAAGAGTGCAATGCTTTTATTATAGCGCTCGATTCTTATATACCCTGTCTGTGTATTTAAATCCCGGGGTGTTTCAATCCTTATCGGAATTACAAGTCATATGTCAATCGATTGGTTATATTTTATTTCTTTAATTCGAACTACATTTTTGTTTCCGATGCGCTCTTAATTTATCTGTTCTTAAATACATGTAATGTCAGTTTTATGTCTGAATTGAAATTTAAACCACACGTTGTTTTTGTAACGGAATTTCTTACCGCACGTTATTGTTTTGATTTGTCCGCGGACCGAGGAGCTAGATCGAAAGTTTAACAATGAAAAACTGCACCAAAAAACGGGCATAATTTCACCTAAATTCAACCTTCAAGCTGAAACTTTCTCCTATCGATTCGGCTAGCCGTTAGTTTTAAGAATATCCGAAAATTTATTGCAACTAGATCTTCGTACATAACATAATATAGCTGATGTCCGTGTGAAGAACAGCCTTGATATAACTATTATAGGTAAATCGATTCCTACGTGATTAAATGTTTGCTCCTGAGCTTTTGTTACGGCAAATGGTACCTTAATGGGAATCATTGGGGTGCGAGGTATTGACCCGTTTGACCAACTCGCAACAACCAACGGGAATTCGCTGGATGTCTACAGTGCAGGACCAGTCGTCGTGGTGAGGCTTGGGGAGGCCTATGTCCAGCAGTGGACTAGTGTCTGTGAACTGAAAGATAGACAGCTCTAGGCCTAACACCTGACGACCTAGAGACCTAACTTTTGCTAGTATTAAAATAGCAACGAAAGTATTGTCAAAAATAATATACAATATGTATTTCCCTTGTTGTAACGAACACAGTTCAAAACAAAATTGTACGCCACGACGAGCTAATACGGTTGTCAATTATATATTTATCTCTATCGTTGTTAATGCTTTGCAAATAAAATATGGCTCGATCAGAAGAAGAACCTTATATTTACATATAAATTTTATAGTATTGACCGATTCAAAAAAATATTTGTTTTGGTACGCTTTTTATGTGTCGTCTTTATACATTGAAAAATCGTGAAAAAATTCAATCCTTTTTAGTTGTTTCAATCTTTCAAAAGAGTCCCACGGATAGTTCACCTATTACTAACACTTATTTCAGTTCCATTGACATGAGCAATTCCTGTGTTTTCAAATTTATCTAGAGGTTTTATTCTGTAGGTATCTCAAAACTTAGTAAGTAGATAGCAGTAGGTAGGTGGTAGGTAGGTGGCTAGGTAGTATACATTAATCATTAAACAATATTTGAATTAAATGAAATAATTTAAAATTTGATTTTTCATAAAGAAAATATTATTCAATACCTCAAAACTAAGTAAGCAGGTAAGTAATACGACCAATTACAATTGAAAATTCGACTGATTATTATTATAACAATAATCTATTATTTGTATTTATAGTACTTAAGCTGAATTGAAAAAAGAAATACGTGCGCGTCCAGGCGGAGAGTCAGTTCTCCTAGCTAAGCCAGCAGTACTCATATAATTATTTTGATTAATAAACTTCCTTTTCAGGTAGCCTCCTTTCCAACATTTACTTTCAGCACTAATTAACACACAAATAAACTTGTTTTATGTTTCAGGTAACCGTCATAATGAAACTTCTCGTGGTGTTCGCAATGTGCGTGCTCGCCGCCAGCGCCAGTGTCGTGGAAATGATCATGGATGGGAACCTCGTTCCCAACCAGGACCTCGAGGAGAAACTGTACAACAGCATCTTCACCGGCAAATACGACAGCGCTGTCGCTCAGAGCTTAGAGCATGAGAGGCAGAACAAGGGTTCCGTCATCCAGAATGTAGTCAACAACCTGATCGTTGACAAAAGACAGAACACCATAGAGTACTGCTACAAGCTCTGGGTCGGCAAAGGGCAGCACATTCTCAGAAAGTACTTTCCTTTAAGCTTTCAACTCAGCATGACCGGAGACTTCGTCAAACTTGTTTACAGAAATTACAAGCTCGCTCTGAAGCTTAGCTGCTATTACTATTTAAATAATGAAAGAATTGCATACGGCGATGGTAAGAACAAGGACCAGGACGTCATCAGTTGGAAGTTCATTACCTTGTGGGAGGACAACAGAGTGTACTTCAAGATATACAACACTAAGTACAACCAGTACTTGAAGATGAGCTCGAAGATTGACTGCAATGCACGTGATCGTATCGCAAAAGGTTCCAACACAGCCGACAGCACCAGCGAGCAGTGGTTCCTCCAGCCCGCGATGTGCGTGCTCGCCGCCAACACCAGTATCGTGGAAATGATCATGGATGGGAACCTCGCTCCCAACCAGGACCTCGGGGAGAAACTGTACAACGGTTTCTCTGGTCATTTCTGATTATTAAGTGCTAGATTCGGCTCATAAGTTATTTAAATTATTAGATTAAGTGTGTGTGTGTGTTCGCTATGTGCATAAGTAATAAACAAACATTCTTCAACGAAAGTTGTATTATTTAAGATTTGCATTGCATTGTAGATAATGGCTATTGTCTGTTCTATCGTAATGAACGAATAAAATGTATTTTACACTTATACTCGGCTTATAGACGTCGATAAACCGAAGTTCCTGTCTGTTCGTACGCTGTGTGATGCGAATCGCAGACAAGGAGCAGTAACACACCAGCAGATATAAGAAGAATATGGAGATAGGTATATTGTGAACACAATTTAATTTAAGCTTGTTTGCAACAAAATAATAATAATAATACGTTGCTTATACCCGTAATATTACATTTATTTACTGCTACTCATAATCACATTGGTTTTTGTAAACAATAAATCGGAATTTAGAAAGCCTTAATGCCCCAAGCGTAATGTTCGGGGCTTCCCACGACGCGGCCTCTGTATCCGAAGGCCCTGCGGTTATGTGAGCCGTCTGTTTCCCTAGAGAGCACCAGTGCCTCGCTGTACTCGCGGTTGTATATGAAGAACAAGACGTCATTGTCGTACTTAGCGGGCTGCAGGTACCACTGGGTTCTGAAACTGTCGACGCTGTTGACTCCGTAGGCCATGTGGCTGCCGTGTCCGTTAGTGTTCACTCCCAATGTCAAGTACTGGTTACGCTCAGTGTTCAAGATCTTGAAGTAGACCTTGTCGTTCTCCCACAGAGGAATGAACATCCAGCTGACTCTTGGACTCGTTTTGTCCTTGCCATCCCCGAAGGCAATTCTGCCATTCATATCGGAATCGCCCAACGTCAAAGCGAGCCCGAAGCGCTTGTACATAAGCTTAATGTTGTTTTCTGCGAGGATAAGCCTGAACTCAACGGGGAAGCAATCGTGAACGATGTCCTTGGAGCCTTGGAGCCAGAGCTGGTAGGCGTACTCCATGCAGTTCATCTTGTTGTTTCGTATGAGTTTGTTTACGACATTTGTGATGACGTCATCGTTCTTGTCCGCGTAGATCTGCCTGCTTCTCTCAACAGCGCTGTCGTAATCCGCAACGAGGATGCTGTTGTAAAGCTCGTCCTCTAGAGTGGAGTTGGAGACGGCGGCTGCGTCGGCATACAAAGACGCCGCGGAAAGACACATTATCATCATAAGAACGGGCTTCATTTTTGGAGTGACAATGTTCTAAAATCAAAAAAATGTTGATAAAAATTTTTTTAGATTTTTAATTTTTCAATAGTTATAAAAAATCATAATTAACAAATTAATTAACTTTAATGAAAATTAACCGCAGGATCTTATAAAGTACATATATCAAAAGGGCTCCACGAAGTTTAAAATTTATAGGCCAATTATTTATACCTTTCATTCCATTGTTTATGCCAATGGAGATTGGGAAAAAATTTGTTAGTTAACAATTGAATAACTTTTTGAAAAATGATGATTAAACTTTTTTTTCTTCAGGGCTCGATTCTTTCAAGTGTTAAGAAGATACTAGAATTTTTTTAAATTTTTAAAATCACATTTTATGTTATAAAAAAAAAAAAATTATTGCTGAACTCTCTTTAGCGGCGGCGCGCGCATGCTGTAACAGCCGCGCGGAGCCCTATTTTCAACGTCTAATTTAAATTATAAATAATGGAGATAGAGTTCCGAAAGTTAGGACTTTTTTATTGGAAATTTCCTCTTCTTTAACGAGCTTTTTTCAAAATTGCTTCAATGTTAATATTTTTGAAGTTATTAACAAAAAACAAAATATCATTTTTTTTTCATCTTATTTTGTTAATAACAATTGCAATTTTTAACCTGCACTAAAATCCTTCAAAAACATTTTTCTAGAGGTGATTCCGAATCGAATGAGCCATCGCTGATATTTTTAGGACCTGTATCTCTATTTTTCACGTTTTTGAACTTGTTGACTAGACTAGAGTAGCTCTGGGCGGAAAATAGCCATGTCCTTTTAATTTATAAACACTAAAATTTGTAAATGATCCGTATAATTTTTAGACCAAAAGTGCGAAATAGAATTTTTAAGCCTTTGTCAGCCTTGTCGAGCCGAACTTGGTTGTACCTAGCTAGCTTCACTTGTCTTAATGGGATAATAATGCAGTATCATATTTTTAATACGCTCCTATTAGCTTCAGACGTATGTACGTTTGTAACGGAATCTTTGAACATGATTTTGACCCCCTCCAAAACGTCGGATTAACTCGAAATTTGGCATACTTATTAAGGACCGATGACAATTCAATATGTAAAACAATTAAAAAAACAAAATTGAAAAAATTTAAATTCAACTAAAAAATTAAAAGTATTAGTTTAAAAAAACTAACAAAAGACGCTTTTATAGAAAATCCTACTAAATAATATAAAATAAATTTTAATAAATTTGAATTAAAAATAGCGTAAGAAAAAATTATTTCATTGTAAAAAAGCGTGGGGTGCATGGTCAGTAGTTATAAATATTTTATGAACAGATATGAGTAGAGGGGCTATTTTGAAAATATCCTGGAAAGCACCCCACGCTTTTTTTAACCCTCACTATTTTAAATTGAAATTTATTTTTTAGTTGAATTTTCTATAAAAGCGTATTTTTTTAGTATTTTTAAACTATTACTTATTTACATTATCGTGAGATTTCTTCTAGAGCTTCGTTTGTTTTACAAAACATGGAGCTAACACATCTCGGAGTAATCTGCTTATTTGGAAAATACAATAAAGGACATGTTCCCTTTTAATGCGCTACAATGGTAGTTCCATCCATCCGCCGGTCCATGTACTTCGTCACGACGTGGATACTGCTACGAACTACTGCTTGACATGCGAGGTTGATTGAGGTCTGAATCGTACTGTACCTGGTCCAGACTTCAAGAGCGGATGCATGGTTGATTCGCGACAGATATATGCGGGATCGATGATCTATCGACGCGGGCTTACGATAAACCTTACAAGTAACTTGATGAAACATTAATTTGATAAGAATAAAGTTGTGTGATATCTCACCTTTGGTTCCCGAGAACGAACTGCCTATTTCGTTTTGAATTCGGCCTTTTATACTAGAAATTGCTTTGAGTTTTAGCATGTCAGATACGATATCGCTACGAAAGTTCAAAAGTCAAAATAAATAGCCTCTAAAGAAAAAAATATATGTCAAATGATGAGCTCATTATCATTTTCAATTTTCCGTTTTTTAATTTTATCTGAATAATGCGTTCATAGCGATAATTATTTATAGATTTAATCACTTTATTGTAATTTTCGTATATACAAAATCGAAACATTAATACCTATCACGAGTATATCCACTGAGTGCTGGTTTGTGGCTTTGAGATATGCGAAGACTACATTCTAACTTTTTTCATTATTAAATTAACGGAACCTGTGTTTGTTTACATGACCCATTTAACACTTCGTTTTTATTGCGATGACTACAGCGTCTGCATTTACTACAAGTTGCCCGCGCTGACGGGTTGCGCGATGTATGTTTGTGAGACTGGTGAAGCCACCTACTCAACGTCTCCGGTGCATTCCCGCCCGACAATCAGAGCCTCACCCAGTACAGAGGCCGGGAAAGGTAGGAGGGGTAGCCGCGGGCAACGCTGCAACCATACAAGTGGCCACCCTAAGGACGCTTCACCAGAATCGTCGGCAAAACTTTCGAAAAAGCCTTGGTGTTGTACACTCATATTGTAAATTATAATAATATTTATTAAAAAAAGAGAAAAATTACATTAGGCCTAATTTTTATTGTAACGTCATTAAGTTACTTCCACATTTCGCAAGTGATCATTGTTGGCAATTTATGAGGATGCGAGAATGCGAAAAATGGTCAACGTAAAGAACTTCCACTAGTAGATTAGTCAAGTGGAAACTACACGTGAATATTACATATTTATTCTCCTTTTCTCTCGTTATATATTTGAAGTCGTCGTGACCTAAAGGATAAGCTTTAATCGTGTTGAGCAATGCACCGGTGTTCGAATCCCAGGCGGGTACCAATTTTTCTAATTAAATATGTACTCAGCAAATGTTGACGATTGACTTCCGTTGTGAAGGAATAACATCGTGTAATAAAAATCACACCCGCAAAATTATAATTTGCGTAATTACTGGTGGTAGGACCTCTTGTGAGTCTGCACGGATAGGTACCATCACCCTGCCTATTTCTGCCGTGAAGCAGCTATGCGTTTCGGTTTGAAGGGTGGGGCAGCTGTTGTAATACTCGAGACCCAAGAACTTTTATCTCAAGGTGGGTGGCGCATTTACGTTGTAGATGTATATGGGCTTCAGTAACCATTTAACACCAGGTGGGCTGTGAGCTCGTCCACCCATCTAAGCAATAAAAAATTAATAAATAAATACTTATTCTTATCTTATATACCTTTACATCGATTAAGCGCAACTCGTGAAGTTATCGTGGCCTAAAGGATAAAAATCAGATGTCCAGTGCATTCGTGTATAGCGATGCAACGGTGTTCGAATCCCGCCGGCAAATACCAATTTTTCTGATGAAATACGTACATAATAAATGTTCACGATTGACTTCCACGGTGAAGTAATAACATCGCGTAATAAAAATCAAACCCGCAAAATGATAATTTGCGATGCTGAAGCATAATATTATGGGTAAGCAGCGATGCGGTCTGGCGTTTTCTGATGAGGTTAAAAGGTTACATATTCATTCTTTAACTCTCAATCTGCTAAAGGTCTTTTTTTTTCCTACCTATGCTGATAGCCTTGAGAGGCTATTTCAGCTTCGCCCTAACGTTTGTAGGTGAGCTCGCGGGGCTCAAACTTGACGACGATGCTAACACGAACCCTAGCAAGAGCCGTGCTTCGCAGAATCTACCACCGGATCGGAAACGCGACCCACTGAGAAGGTCCGGCGAGAAACTCAGTGGGTTGTGTCTGAGAGTTGATTTACTCGTCGAGCCCTTCGTCGCAAGCGACGGGTTCGACGAGAACGGTGACCGGTGCTTGAAGTACCTAGAAGCACCGTTAGTGGATCGGGAGGATCCGAGATGACGTGTTTTAGGCGACGTCGACTGCTTTCCATTCTGTCCACAGGATCGGGAATGCTAAAGGTCTACTTAGTTTTCAGCATATAAAGATAATAAGACCATACTCTTGACATTTGAGCTTGAAAAATCAGTTGTTTAGTAAAGTAATTGTCTCGACCTACATTCTGCAACGCATAATATTGGCACGATGATGGTACCCAATCGGCAGGTTCATAATACACCCTAAATGGCAGTTGGGGATCGTGTGATGTTTGTACACTGTTGCTCTTCTCTGGTATAACTATATTTATGATATACACCGGAAGAGGCTGGTGCTATTTTACGTCACTACAAGTCCGGAACTCTCTCCTCTCCTCATCACTTCTGAGGGTCGTGACCATCATGTTCAGACAGGATTTTATTTACTGTTATGTCTTCACAGCGTTTCCGATCATTGGCCGCGTGAAGGGCTTCGTAGGGTTCGAATGGGTCTCTAGTGAGGTGCGGATTTGTTCGAACTAACTTGGAAATTAATTGAAATAAAAAGTTACCTTGTATTTTTTTTAAACTAAAGTTAACTTAGAATAAAAGATTCGGGTAGTATTTAACCCTACAACTGTAAATGCAACTTTTTCTTTTCAAATATTCGAAATTACCACCAAAAATACTGAATTGCGCCCTAAATTTGCTCATCAAATAAATCAAATCTAATATACTATTTTATCTATAAATCTAAACTGTTTTACTAAATGATTATTTGTTAACTAAAAGTAAAACTGATAATAATTCTGTGTGTGCAACAACAATATTTAATTATTATTTTTTTAACTCGTCACCTAGGTATTAAACTGTTAAGAACATGAGTTATTCTAAATGAAACACCAGCTAATCAGTCATGTTTATCTAATTACAGTGCACAACAAATCAACTAAGTGCCATCTTAATATAAACTAACAATTGCAAAACACTAAGGTAACTCAGTTTATTAGTTTAGCACACGCTAGTCGCCTGCCTCGCATGAGAGGGGTGGCGCCCTGACCTCGTCGCAGAAATAGGAAACGACTTGTCGTTGCCGAGTGTTGTGGCATTGATGGAAGGCGATGCTCGACTTCTGCGAGTGTACCATCTCGCAGAAGGAGGCGGCGGGGCAAGTGAGAGACACAATCCCGCCGCCGTCAAGCGGAGGCCAGGAAGGCAGATCTCGCCCAAGCCCTGGTCCTCTAAGTGTTTCGGGTCCCCCTTACATGTCGGTCTGGGGACCGGCGAGGGGGGCCTAAGAAGACGACGTGCAAGCTGCTCTGCACGTGTTTTACGCAAGAGCATCCGGATGATGGAAGGTCGGCTATCCTTGACCCACGCTGGTTCTGACCCAGCGGGGCATTCCGTAGGATAACCTATTCTAACCGGCGCCATCTAGCTGGGCTTCGGATGGCCTACCGACCGAGAGTATGTTTTTAGCTTCTACAGGTGGTGTGACATATTTAACTCGCGGTCCAATCTTTCAGCTCGATCGAAGGAGAATTTGAAAATGATCCCAACTGATCTGGAGACGTAACACATCAATATTCTGTAATAAAGTCTTCTTTTTTTTGCATACTAATTTTTCTACATTGCTCATAAAAAAATTTTTGCATGGCCCAGCACATTTTTACAGTAGTTTTTTTACCAAATACTTCTTTAAATGCATTTTTTATGCTCATAGGCGCGTCGCAAATTAATGCCTTTGGTTGTAAAGAGTTTGGGAGAAAACGCTGTTGCGAAGAGCTTCAAACAAAATTTAGAAATCTTGTATTCGTTCAGAAGTTCAAAAGAACGTAAGAAGTTCAGAAGAACGAAAAGAAATAAAGTTGGGTGATGGGGATTTTAACTATACTAGTAGTAAACTCGTGGAATGTAATTTGATAATGTAAACATACATTATCTGTTATACACTTTTAGAAAATGATTTTGGAAATTCCGTTCTAAGATGGTTAATTTAGTGTGCAAATCAATATTTTTGTTATACGGTGAGTAATTTTGTCTTAAAATCTGTATATTAATGGTTTCAGCTAGGTTTTCGTTGTAAATTAGATAAAAAAGGTCTGAAAGATCTGATTTTGGTTAATTTTATACGTGCTTTAATAAAATATGTTTAGGTAATGAAGTAGCTAATTTGTAACGCAGTTATTTATCTGATATGCAGTGGATTATTGGTTGGGAAATTTAGTTGGCATGAACTTTAAATAGAGGAGCAATTAAAAATTCCCCAAAAGAAACCAGTGTTAAAATAACTGATCGACTAGTCTGACACATGACCTGTAGATACGATAAAGACGCAATTTGTTTTTGAACATCGAGTATATAAGGCCTGTTTGCAATTAGAAAAGCATTGCAGACTTGAGAGCGACCCGAAAAGGTAAGACTCATGATATTTATTTCACTGAAAATCATCAATTCATTATAACTGTAATAGTTTAATCACGTGCTGATTGGAATTATGAATGATAAAAATACTTGATGGGTACTGGTGTGAGATCCGTACGAATAGCTCGCTGGTGTGTTCAAATTGTTTGTGATTCTTCAATACTTGTCGCAATCCTCAGAATTGTTGAATTTTGTGCAATTTAATCATAAGACGAATTTGGAATATTATTAACTATTTATTACCTATTAATTTGTGAATCTATTGAAAAAATGTGTACTAATTATCTCATCGTCAACATAATTACTTCACAAGTCGTTAAATCAAAATCCCAAAACGTGACACTTGTTAGTAGATCTACGTAGAACAACATTTTTTATTTTATTTATAACAAGCGGAGCGCTCCGGCTCCGCTCGGGTCTTTGACGAAAATTTAAACGATATTTGACGTTGTTTTATTTTTTTAAATAAAAGAACACTTATTGCAGCATAACTATAATAGTTAGACATATACTGACGCGACATTTTTTGGAAATAATAATGTGTTCTACAAAGTTGTAGTACCTACATTATTTTATTCTATTATTAATAGTTTTCGCAGGGCGCGCGATGTTAAGAATATTTTACGTAATTTTTTACACCTTGGGTTACATTAATGGAGTTTTAGTAAGGATCTCTAATTTTTTCATATTTTTTATTTCAAAAAGATTATAGCCTATAGTTTCCGAGCCTATTCAATACAAACAAACAAACAAATCTTTCCTCTTCATAATATTAGTATAGAAGAGACAACACTTACTTTCAGCACTAATTAAACAAATAAACTTGTTTCATGTTTCAGGTAACCGTCACAATGAAACTTCTCGTGGTGTTCGCGATGTGCGTGCTCGCCGCCAGCGCCAGTGTCGTGGAAATGATCATGGATGTGAACCTCGCTCCCAACCAGGACCTCGAGGAGAAACTGTACAACAGCGTCCTCGCCGGCAACTACGACAGCGCTGTCGCTCAGAGCTTAGAGTACGAGCGGCAGAACAAGGGCTCCGTCATCAAGAATGTGGTCGACGACCTGATCATTGACAAGAGACGGAACACCATGGAGTACTGCTACAAGCTGTGGGTCGGCAACGGACAGCACATTGTTAGAAAGTACTTCCCCTTTAACTTTAGACTCATCATGGCCGGAAAATTCGTCAAGCTCATTTCCAGAAACTACAACCTCGCTCTGAAGCTCGGTTCCACAAACAATCCTTCGAACGAGAGACTTGCCTACGGCGATGGTGTAGACAAGCACACTCAACTCGTCAGTTGGAAGTTCATTACCTTGTGGGAGAACAACAGAGTGTACTTCAAGATCCACAACACTAAGTACAACCAGTACTTGAAGATGAGCTCGAAGACTGACTGCAACAATCGGGACCGTCTTGTATACGGCGGCGACACAGCTTACAGCATCAGCGAGCAGTGGTTCCTCCAGCCCGCGAAGTACGAAAACGACGTCCTGTTCTTCATCTATAACCGCGAGCACAACGATGCTTTGGAGCTCGGTGGGATCGTGAACGCCTCGGGAGACCGCAAGGCCGTTGGACACGACGGTGAAGTCTCCGGTCTTCCTGACATCTACTCGTGGTTCATTACAACTTTCTGATTATTAAGTGCTAGATTTAGTACTTACACCGTTTAAATTGCTAAATCATGTGTGTTTGCACGAGCTGCATAAATAATAAATGAACAATCTTATATGAAATTGGTGTTTTTCTATAGTGAATGATAAGTAAGTGTTCATCTATGAGCCTCTCTCGAATGCCCTTATATTTTTATTTAATTGAAAACTAGATATAGCCCACAGTTTCACACGCATTTAATTTGTAATTCAGAAAGAATGAATCACGTTATATTTTTCCAAGATTAGTAAAGATCAGGGAAGACTTAATTTTTGTCCCCCTTTTAAAACTAACCGTAAAGGGGATTGCCCACTCTCCATAATGTGCTAGGCCCAAGATGGACATCAAATATTACTATAAAAATGTACTGATTCAAATTCTTAAATGTATTGGATATCTAAAAAATATATTGAAATTGACGCCACTATTATAAAAAATATAATAAAAATAAAAACTCGTTTTGAGGTTAATTTTCTATATAAATAAGTGTCGGATTGTGAGATACTTCAAGAACTTTTATTTTCTTAATGTTTAAGATGTTCCTAATGTATATTTATCCAATAGGGTATAAAAACACACTTAATTCTTTAAATATCTATATTTTCTTCATCTTCATACACAATTAGTATCATCTAAAAATAGCAAAGGAGAGCATATACACGGTTTTAAATCTCGGTCAGGGTAAAACCACAATTCACACAATGTTTTTTAGTCGTAGTATGAAACGTTATTGATAAAAGTAAAATAAATCGAAGAAAAATCAAAACACATCCATTTTGTACGCAAGCACAACACCACAAGCAGCAAGCGAAGTGTCAGTCAGTCAGATTAAATTCAGTGTTGTCAGTATAAAGAAAAATAATTACATGAAATTCATATATCGATTATTTTTTTAAATAACCGATAATTGATTTATATCTTAATCTTTTTTTTACGAGTACACATTATTTTTTATGTTTTTGTTTTAGTTGTACATATTTAAATAACAATACTAGTAAAGTTTTTTTTATTGCTTAGATGGGTGGGCGAGCTCACAGCCACCCTGGTGTTGCTAAGTGGTTACTCGAGCCCACATACATCTACAACGTAAATGCGCCACCCACCTTGAGATATAAGTTCTAAGGTCTCAAGTATAGTTACAAGTTAAAGTCCAATGGGTATGTCTTCGATGTTATTTTATGTGCATAAAATCCATTAAAATCGTTTGATTAATGATAATACTTAAAATGATTTATTTATATGTTTTATTTATATACTCAAAATATTTACTTCATACGTAAAAGGATTTGAAGCTGGCAATATTTTTCCCGCAAAAATAAAAATCCTTGTTTTTTCAATAGAGTTACTTTTTTTAAACTACTTATTGTAAACTATAGTGGCGCTTATTTGCAAGAAAGTAAATGCATATTTATTTATGACAAAATTAATGCACTAAGTATTTTTTCTATAATCTATTGTCCGCTTTGGGCCTAAAATGGGCCATCCCCTTTATTACTGACACACTGAATTATTTACGAGCGCAATTTCTGTTTAGTGTACAGAAAGTTAAAGTCATTTTTTATATATACATATTTTCTATTTATAAAGATTAAAATATTCGATCATGGCATTGATGCTTTTGTACTCTCAGTACACTGGTAATTGTTCAATGACCTTTTCGAAGAAGTTAAAAGATGTAGAGGAGCTAAGGAACTCTTAAAAGACATCTTGAACTATCTATTAAGTATCGAATGTTTCACTGCCAAGAACTTGTAAGCCTTTCTATCTCATGAGCTTCGAAATGAGCGCTGAATGCCTACAACGGTAGGCAGCGGCACGGCTCTGCCCGTAGCATTGATGAAGTCCATGGGCGACGGTATCCACTCACCCTCAGGTGGGTCGTATGTTGTTCTGCATATAAGGGCAAAAAATATATAAATAGTTCGTGATTTGGAGTCAGAGTGAAGAAATCCAAAACTTCGGCCGCGAATTTTGAAGAAGGTGCTTCCGAGACACCGGTCGGAAACGATAGGGGCGAACCATTTCCGGGCATTTGTGTCTTTCGAATTCGGATGTTCCAATCTAGAACTGCGCTAGAGCTCTGGTCTCTCCATCTGGCGATCTCGGCGAGACGATTAGTCCGGTCCTCGCAGACTGGACCGAACCATGACTGAGTTTTGGACTGAAACATATTGTGTTGATGAGTCACAGCCTGCTTCGCCTGTTGGGAATGGGATATCTCAAAATACTACTGGCTCCGTCTGAGTAGCCGACGTAAAGTCGTTTTCGCTAAAGATTCAATCGATCGGTCTTTGGAGTGGCCACGATTGCAGTGTTGACCGCGGTCGCCCCTCCTACCCATCTACCTTGGCGGGGCTCGGACATTCGGGGAGGGGACAAGGGAGGCGTTTAGTCGATGTCTTCAGCAGTCATACTGCATACATCACGCGCGTCCTTGATACGGGCATCTTACAGCAGATTCGACACCCATCCAAAAAAATTATCACAGTAAAAAAGGTTGCCAGTATGTAATTAATAAGTACAGTCAAAATCTGTTATAACGACATCGAAGGGACTGCTCATATTCAGTCGTAAAAACCGATAGTCGTAACAACCGGTGATGCTTAATGTGTATCGTGCAAGTACAAACAAATCGATAGGGAATTATTTGAAAAATATATTTATTCAACTATGTACATTTTGTTTATTACACATAAGTACAATGCATATTATTTTTCTGTGAGCATAAAATCTGTAATTTTGGTCTGTTTGGAACACTTCTGTTGTGCATAGATATTTTATAATTCACGTTGGATTTTAATTAACGTATCGTCATCGCTCTTTCCAAATGGTTGCAATTGTCAAGTGTGATACAACATATTCCTTTGCTAAGTATTTGTTTGAAATTCCGCTCTCTAGCTTGGATATAATACGCGATTTTTCTTGAATATTAATTTGTTTTCTTTTTCATTGCGACATTTTTAAAGTTTCACGAATAACTCCACAAAGTTTTGGTGCGTCTTGTGTATAGATAAGTAACAAACTAACTGAAGAGATATGAAGAAGCGGGCTTTGACTCTACTGCATGCTCGTGTTTTATTTCTAAGAATTAGAAAAGACCCTACACTAAAATAAATCCTATTGTTTTCTTTCCTGATTTTAATAGCCATTGAAGACAAATGTGGATACCTATTCAAATTGTTTACAATACAGCTTAGCCGGTCGTTCTAACAGATCTAATTCTCCGAAATATTAGTTAAATGTGGTCGTTTTATGAGGTATGTCGTTATAAGCAATGTCGTATAAAGCAATGTTTTTAATAAGGCGGTCATATAGCATTCAGCCGGGACCATATGTTAGGAGTAAAACATCCCGCGAATGCGAGGGACAATAATAATTAACAAACCACAAAGCTACTTTTACGGCATAATCTTCCTGTATTAATGAACGAATAGCACCAAACGCACCATTACCAAACCCTCAAAATACTATTAGTTCGTTCTGTGTGAAATGCAACGATAAAGATGATTAGCAGTCAAACCGTTACTGCGATCGTTTTAATTAGGACTGGACGGTAATTACCAGCATAAGGT